AATAATAATAATAATAATAAAAAGCCAAACACGAATCGTGGTTGTAGAGATGAATGACCCGGGGTCCAGGTCTAGTTTTGCAAGCGGAGAGCAGCGCATCGCGAAGAGTCTCAATTCGAGCAGATTATGCAAAATGGCCAACTACCAAAAACATGGTAGTGAATGCTTCGGAACTGGAACATATAACTCCGATAAAAAATAATCCTTTCGAATGGTGCCTGTTCCTGAAGGATTCGGTGCCCCACAGATGAACTGGCTGATGTGAGCCACTTCACACTTCCGCAGCGGATTAGCAGATGGCTTACCTGTCGGAACAAGGGAAAAAGGTGAGCCAGCAAATAAGCCAACGTCAAAAATCACAATCTGGCATTCTATTGGCTGACAAAATAATAAGCTGTCATCCCAATTGCAACTAGGCACTTTTTTTTAAAACACTTTTCCGTATTGTAAACGAGAATCGCGGTCCTCATGGCTGTGTCTCAACGTCTAGAGGAGCGGCGGACTTTTAACCCCCTGCAACTCCGCTTGTAAGCCGCATCCGTCAATAGTTCAGAGGTACTTTATAACCACGTTCGCATCTCCTCGAAAAGCATTACATATCACTCTCAAGCAAGTCCTCAGCATCTATTCCATCAAATCATCATGAAGATTCTTTTCATCGGCGCAACAGGCTCCATCGGAGGCGAAGCTCTCCGCCAGTGCCTCGCTCACCCCAAGGTCACTTCAGTTGTCTGCTTTGTACGCCGCCAACTCCCCTCCGACATCTCAAGCAACCCAAAGCTTCAAACGGTCATAATAAAAGACTTTGCGGTCTGGCCGGAAGATGTTCTTCTACCGCACGTTGATGCTGCTGCTATGATTTGGTACGTCTCTTCAAGAGGTGATATATGCCAGAGACTAATACGTGTAGTGCTATGGGCTCGTATAGAGGAAACGTGAATGCAGACATGGAATACCCTCTGGCATTCCAATTCGCTTTTGCGCCTCTTCTAGAGAGGCAGCCGAAAAGACCCAGGTTCCGCTTCATTCATCTCAGCGGCGCGTTCGTTATTCAAGACCAGGATGCTAAACTCTGGGTCAACGACTACCCCCGAAAGTTAAAGGTAACTTCCTTCCACGTTAATCATTTTTAAAGATATCTAATTCTCGATCACAGGGTCTATACGAAGTACGGTCTCAAGAGTTTGCAAAAGAACATGCTTCCGTATGGCGAACCTTTATGCTCCGACCTGCGGGTGTGATCACGCAAAGAAATATGATTCTTGGTTGTATTGCGAAAATGATCCTGGGTGACGACTGGGTAGTGTTGAATAAAGAGCTGGGTGCGTACTTTACGTACCTGGCTATTAATGAGGAGAGCGAACCTGAGGGAACGTTCTTGATCGAGAATAGACATATCGTTGAGGGTGGAAGGGCGGTCTTGAAAGCTGAAGCATGAGGGTGGCCATGCTCAATCATAGACAATCGAATTGGAGTTTCATCATAGCAGGAGTCGGATTGAGCTTTCGAATATCTTTTACTTGATAGAACAAGCCCACTGACAGAAATTACTGCTGTTCCTATATATTTCATGAAAGTCAAGTTTTTTAACAATAATATCCGTGATCTCATTAAACAGGTGAACTGTAGACAAGTGGAATCCTGTTCACAGGTGGTAGTCATCTAGACGCGCAACTCTCATGCCTCGTCGTTCCCACACGCCCTCGATCTTCATATCTCGTGCACCGCTGATCTATGTCAGTTCTGTTCTTGAACCGGAACAGGGAGGCTACTTACTCGTCTCTCCAGATAATCATGGGCTCGGACTCGCCTTTAGGAGGATTTCTAAACACCATGTTCTTCGTCTGTCGAGCTGTTAGAATCAAGATTCGCTCTCTGGCAAGACAAGGTACACTTACCAATCCCAACGACAAATGGATAGCTGGAGGATCAACAGTGATCTTGTTCGTAGGTGATCCACCCGGAACCATGGCAGCAATATTCTGTGCTACGACTGCTGCCTGTGCTGCCCCAGGTCGAGCTGCCTTATGAGCTCCGCTGTCGGCAATATCACCGCAGGCGTACAGGTTCGAATAGGCTGGATCAGCAAATTGCAAAGTTGGCGAAACTTTGATGAAGCCATTAGTTCGGTTGAGGATCTCATGTCCTGGGGTAGGTTCCAAGTCTTGTAGGAACTGGTTGTTGGGCGTTTGACCAGTTGCTGGGATGACAAGATTCGTGGGTATCTTGCGGCCGTCTTTCAATTCGAGTTCGAAATCTGAGCCGTCTGTTGGGAAACCTTTGTCTGGGATGACTGCTCGTGTGCCGGTGACCACGCTATTGCGGAATCATTGTTAATGATGGATGAGGAACGAAAATCCGGGCGACTCACTCTACACCAAGCTCTTCCAAACGGTCGCGGATGATAGCATCCATCTTCGGATGATAGAGCTGCATAAGTCGATCTCTCGAATGCACCAACGTAACCTTCTTTTCGGGATAAACCTCCCCTAGATCAGTAGCCATCTGCACGCCGACGGCTCCACCGCCAACAATTACAATCGACTCAGCGTTCTTGATACCTTGCTGATATGTCTTGAAGTAATCTACTGAGGGCTTCTTGTCATCGTGTTGCATGTTACTCGGAGACTGAAGACGTGTTCCGGTAGCTACAACTGCGTAGTCGAAGGAAATCTCTGTTGAGCCTTGCCATGGTCGGTCAAGTGTGATTTGGTTCTTTTGCAGAGAGACGGCTCTGGCTCTCACTATGGCATGGTTGGTGGCGTTTGGTAGAGAAGAGAAGAAGCCGGTATAGGGGATAAAGGCTTTGTGTTCATATTCTGGGACGATGGCGAATCGGGGCTGGAGAGTCAGTATATGCTGGGCGTTGGGCTGGATGCGTACTCACAAAGGCGAATAGATGGTGAAAGTGACTATGTGGTTCTATCAACAGTACCTGGAGGAATGTCAATATCTAGAAGTTGGAAGCTAAAACAAACATTCTAAACTTACGCTGTGGGTGACAGGTAGAAGTGCAGCAAGTTCTTTCACAGCGGCCTATACATCGTCAGTAACTGTGACTTACAGCGACATCGGGACGCCCACAAGTCCAACAAAGGAGCCGCCAACAACAATAACATTCTTCAGCCCGGCAGTCATAGTGATCAATGGATTAAGAGAATAACAAATAATAAGAAGTGATTGATATGACCACAAGGATGTAAAGGGTCTTTTTATCTCGAGCCATCTTATCAATCTACAGGGTCTCCGCCGGATGTACGCTTTGCCGGACATCCGAATGTGCTTGCCGAAATCGGCTTCTTCCAGAATCCGGCATTCGGTTCGGCATCTCTTTGGCAAAAGAGCGAGTCGCGGTGAATTCGCACTGAATAGACCGAATGGATTCAATGAACATCTCCAAACTACAATTGGAAGCTAACGCGATGTCCGTTCATTTCGTAGCACGAGGTGTTGCGCGCGACTGTTGGTGCGATCGGCCACAAGCTGCGGCGCTCTAATGCGATGCAACATACTATTGCAGGCGACGAAATTCTGTAACTGGAGTATCTGTCGCCTGTTTACAATTCACAGAAGTTTTACGGATATAGGCGTTTAGTTAATTGTTTGCAAAATCTTGTCTGTTATACCGTCACAACGTATCCTGAAGACTCACATGGTTTTGCAGGGATTCTTTCGACACCAGAAACTGTTACAGTCGCGTCTCAGAATGTTACATGGAGCGCGCCAACTGACGATCAACCATCATAGCATTTGAGAATACTAGCAGCCCTACGCGAATTTATCTGCGACGCATCACTTGACCCAAAAGTCGTTACATGTCGCGACCGAAGACAGGGCAGTCAGGCAAAGACGTCTTTCTACCCTAGAACCTCTGCTCCTACCCACGCGTCCACCTTCCATCTTGGTCTCAAGATGCCCGCCCAAAGACATGGGTTTCAGCACGTGGGGTAACTTCACCAATCAGACTGTAAGGCTTAGCGGACACGATCTGGAGATAGCGGAGCCACGCCAATCAGGCCCAACAGTTCCTTGCATTTGGCGGGTTAGCGACTCTAGTTTATCGGAGCATGCCCTGAATACAGTGAGTCTAAGCCCTGGAGAGGAAGCAGCAGACTCAAACGAGTGGTATGTCATCCAATTTCAGTGTTGGTCAGCCAAGACCAGCCCGTTATTTTCTGACCCGTTGGATGGCTTGGCTATGTGACTTTTTTGACAGCTGCTTGCGCCTCTTTCTCCTCCTCTCTCTTCTCAATTCAAGCATGCCTCATCTGCAATGAAGTCATGCGACCTTCTCACGCAAACATTGGCTTCTGGCTAATATGGTTCATCGCTCTGCTATGGAGCTACCGGAACGGTTACGATGACCCCTCTTCCTTCTTCTACAAGAGCCGGATTGCCTTCGATCGTCGCTTCTCCGCAGCCCGCGAGATCCAGGTCGACGAGTACCTCGAGCGCGAAATATACCCCGTCAAGCACAAGCAGCGCACCGAAGTGCAGGTCGACAATGAGTTCCTATGTATCGGTATCCCGAGCATCAATCGCACCACGTCGGCCTTTCTTGCGCACACGGTCGGCAGCCTTGTTGATACGTTGACGCCGAATGAGCGCAATCAGATACACATTGTAGTGCTGCTCGCGGATAAGGACCCCAAGAAGCACTTTGCTTATGGCCAAGATTGGCTCTTTGGCCTTGCGGACGATGTACTTGTGTACTCCAACGATACCAGCGACGCAAATGCCGGGCCAGATCTCGACTACAAGGTCCTCCCCCACGACATTCGCGGCATGGGACGCAGCGACGATCGAGTCGAGAATATCCGCCTAGACCACTCCGTTCTCTTCGAAGCATGCCGACAACGAGACCCCACGTACTTCGCCCTCATCGAAGACGATATAATAGCTTCGCCGGACTGGTTCACACGGTTCAAGAAGGGCGTAATTGAGGTTGAGCAGCGAGCGACCGATGCGCACCAAGATTGGATGTACCTGCGCTTGTTCTACTCAGAGATCTTCATGGGTTGGAACAACGAGGAGATCTTTGACTATCTCAAGGTCGTGATCCTGGGCTACACAGGTCTTATCGGTTGTCTCCTCCTCGCTCTGCGCTGTCGCCAACGGCGTCACGCAGGATCCTTTGCGTCCAAGGACTTCGCACAAACAGTCGCTTTGCTCCTCGGTCTCTGGATCCCTGCCTGCCTCGCACTAGCATTCGTGACAGGCCGCATCTCGCTGCATCGTCTCTTTACGCAAACACCAACCGTCCGCGAAATGCCGCGCTACGGATGCTGCGCGCAAGGCCTCGTCTTCCCAAACCACCACTTGGGAGATTTACAAGACTTCCTCCGCGAGCCACCGTACCAGTTCCCAGGCGATATGATCATGGAGGATTATGCGCGCGATCATCAATTGACTAAGTGGGCGCTTGATCCGAGCGTGATGCAACACGTTGGGCTGGTGGAGTCTTCTGATGGTCCTCGGAGAGCTGAGGTGTGGAACTTTAGCTTCGAGAGGTTGCAAGGCGCGCGCGAGTGATCGACCGACCCTGATCTCCGTACCAATTGATGCTGGGGCCGTTGGAACGATGACCTGACTACACGAGTGATGCCATCATGTCGCGACGCGCCATTCACCAGCACAATGGCGACGGACTTGCCAACGACAGACTTAAATCGCTGTACATAACCCGACGAGTAGCACCGAGGAATGGAAATAGACCGCATATACAACACAAGCGATAAGCGATTGAGAGGCGCATATAAGGAGCAGGCTCCTCGAACACCACCGAACAAAAGTCAAAATAAACCTGAAGTCTAGAATATAGATACAGTCCATAAAATACCCAATTCTGCATCACCGCTTCCAATATAATATACCATTAAACTTTGCGATTCAGTAATTATACTAACTCTTTGCGAAAATAAACACGTTGAAAGCCATCCTCTGTCCGCCTCTCAATCTCCACAAAGCCCATCTTGGGATACAACACCAGATTCTCGACCATCGCTACATTCGTATACAGCGTCAAAGCGGTGCACCCTCGCCAATTTGCAAGGTCCTCAGCATACTGCATCAATACTCTTCCATAGCCGCGGCCTTGCGCCTTTGGGTCAACGACCATATTATTGATTCGAAGATCCTTTGCGTTTTCCTCATGGTAAAGGACGAATGCGCCGACTATATCCTCGTCGCTTGATCGGAGGACGAAGATTGTATATGCGGGCGATGTGAGAAGGGCCTGGTAGTCCGTTGACATTGGAGCTGGTGGTTTGTTCATGCGTGGGATGTATTTTGAGTATGCTTCATTGATGATCGACTGGATAGAGGGTATATCGGTAGCTTCAGCTCTTTTGAGTGAGAGGCCTGGGGAGGTGAAAGGAGGGTCGTCCATCGTTGGAGCTGCGCTTTAGCGGTGATGAAGCTGACTGGTTCCGAAACTTTCTAGGGGAACGATCTGAATTGCAAGTTGAGATTGAGAGATGTCCTTTGTCGCGATCAAAATGCTGGATTACACCCCCGAAGCCGGAAGGACAGGTACGACGCAGTGAGTCAATCGGGCAGCCCCGGCCGTGGAGCAGGGGTACTTACATCACTAAAAAATGGACTTTCAGACGGAAGACCACCACAAAATTCGGCAGCGGCAGCGGGCGCGAAAATGTATGCCGTTAGTTGAGCTTATGTACTCTGTGTCTCCAATAGCTCCTGCATTCTTCAATGGAGTTTTCAGCTATTGCCCAACCTACCTAGGATGATTAGAGCAACGGTACCCGGACCGGTCCGGCCATGGTTACAGGCCAATTGCCTTTAACTACCACGGTTAATCCCGCAATGGCATTGTTAAAGTGGCCTGCAGGTCAATCGCCCCAATAATTGAACCATCTTGATCGCCGTTCGAGTTTCTCAGGTACAGTATCGGATTGAAGTGGATAAGGACGGAGAAACTCTGAAGGAAGAGCGGAACCTCTTCTAACCGTATACAAATTCCGCTTCTCGTGTTTTTGGATACAACGAAAACACCATGTCCTGATACCGGAGGCTTCAGCACATGTGCTTCAAAAGAGACGCCATCAAACAGCTCCTCCAAATTTACACCAAATGCCGAGCGCTTGGACCTGTACCTAAACTTGGTGAATATCCCGAAGCCCCAAAGCGTCTTCCTCAGATCAACGTTTAATTGAACCAGGGCGATCTTGATCTTGTCAAGCTTGTGCGGGGCGACTTCAGCCCAGTGAGCCACGTTCGTCGATCCCATGTGCATGCAAGCTCACGCCAATGATCTCATGATATCACGAACGCAACAGTGATGCGATCATAGATGTGTCGTCATCAGCTATAAAATACCATTTGTCTGCAATCCATTTCCTAAAAATCACATCTCTTACACAAACATCAACAAAAGAAACATTATACACATCATGTCTGACAAGCCCACCACCAACCTCACTGGCACCGTGCCCAAGGCCATGGACGAGGAAGGAAGCATTGGCAAGCAGTTCACCGGTAAGAATGCACGCTGTGTCTTGCTATGGCATATCTGACCGACTTTGCAGAGAAGGGAGCCATTGGAGGCATGGCGCAAAAGATCGGAGGACCTCTCGACAAGGACGGCGCAATTGGCAAGCAGTTTAAGGCTGACGGAAGCATTGGAGGAACAGTCCAGAACAACATGGGCGGAGAGAAGAAGGCTTAATTTTACCGGCCTATAATTAATTCAATAAACCATTAATATCCCCGATTAATTATCTCCAGACCATTGTATGCATCGTAGATGAACTGCGACTGTGAAATGCGGTGAGATTGCTGCAATAAGCTGTTTTTGTGCTGCAGCTGTCAGTGATTGTGCTATGCCGTCCATCATGGTGACGTTTGTACTAGCGCCAAGCGCTGACAGCAGAATAATCTCCACTGTCATTGGTTGCTGCCCACTATAGAAAGGACCAAATCTTCCGGACCTCATACGAACACGTCGGGAATGTTGTGCAAACAGTGACGACGTTGTGATGTGAAACCGCAAATACTGACGCACTCCAATATGTATTTCGCTTCAATGGCATGAGCTCTTGCCAATCAGCCCATTCTTATTTGTCAATCATGCGCATTGTACGGCTCATTGACAGCTCCCCAGCAACAGCTCTCATGATATAGAGCTCCATCACACGCAGCTTGTTCTTTCTGCATAAGCACTTTTCTTCCAAATTTTAGCTTCACAGCCTAGAATGCTCTTCTCAGTAACCTCGGCTGCTTTTAGAGTTTCTCGTGTCTCTCGTCGTTGCACAGTTCAGCTATCTTTCAAAGCTTATCAGTCCACCATGGCGACTTCAAAATCACAGCAGTTCTTTCATACTTCGGGCGTGACCGACTCAGTCTGGGTGCATCAAGATCCCGTTTCGAACAGACCTTCATTTCAGAAGCTGAATCAAGATATTGAGACTGATGTGTGTGTCATTGGCGCAGGCATTGGAGGAATCTCTACAGCATTTGAGCTCGTGAAGAGAGGACGAGAAGTCGTCCTTCTTGAAGCTCGACAGGTCCTATCAGGAGAGACTGGTCGCACCAGTGGACATCTGACCAACGACCTGGACGATGGTTATACTGAGATCGCTAAGAAGCACGGTGATGAGGGCGCTAAAGCTGCTGCTGAGAGTCATGCCTGGGGAAGGGATCGTGTTGGCGAAATTTCCCAGATGCTGGGCATCGAGTGTGAATATCGCAAGCTACCGGCCTACGAGGTCTCCCAATACTCAACCAAGGAGAAGAAGGAGCACGAGGAAGAGATGAATGAACTGCGCAAGGAGGAAGCAGCGCAAAGGAAGTATGGTATCGATTCCAGATTCGATGTGAGTACCCATCCTGCGTATCATTTTGAAATGTGTTGCACCATCCTCTTATGAGACTTCAGCTAACTCTCTGCCCAGGAAACACTAGCCGTCAAAGGTTGGGATGGAGCCATCGACCAGCGAGGAGGTCTCATCGTGAAGGACCAAGCTACCTTCCACCCAACAAAGTATCTCAACGGAGTCCTGAAGTGGCTCAAGTCTCAGCCCAACTTCCAATGCTTCGACCAAACACGAGTCATGTCGGTCGAAGAGAAGGGCATTGAAATTCTAGGAATTGGTAACAAATCTGTACTCGTGCAGACATCAGATGGAAAGACGGTCAAGTGTAACAACGCCGTCGAAGCCACTTGCGTTCCTCTGCAGAAGCTCAGTGTCATCGCTCAGATGGAGTTCATGCGCTCTTACTGTATCGCTGCCAAGGTATCAAAGGGTGCCATCGAGGATTGTCTCCTCTACGACCAGGCCGAGGAGTACAAGTACATCCGTCTCACAGCATGCGACGACCAACATGATTACCTTGTTGTCGGAGGCTGCGACCACAAAGTTGGCCAGGAAGATACCACCACCGAATTCCAGGAGCTAGAGAACTGGACTCGCGAACGCTTCTCACAGGTTGGCTCTGTTGACTACAAATGGAGCGGTCAGATCTTTGAACCTGTTGACTTCATGCAGTTCATCGGCAAGAACCAGGGCAACGACCACATCTACATCATCACCGGAGATTCTGGCGACGGTTTGACACACGGAGTATTGGCTGGCCGTCTGATCGCTGATGAGATTGATGATATCAAGAACCCGTGGGCTGAGGTTTACTCCCCTAAGCGCATTGCTTCCATGCTCAAGTCCCTTCCAAGCATGATTTCGCATGATCTGCAAATCAACGCGCAGTACAAGCGTTTCTTGGAATCTGATATTACTGATATCGAGGACCTTGGCCGCGGCATGGGTGGTGTATTGAACAAGGTAAGTACTCAATTTACTGATTGCAGACATGAGCTAATCTTGTCAGGTCGGATCCAAGCCAATTGCGGTGTACAAGGACGAAGAAGGAAATGTCAAGCAATACAGCGCTTTGTGTCCGCATATGAAGGGTGTCGTGTGTTGGAACACTACTGAGAAGAGTTTCGATTGTCCTGTTCATGGAAGTCGATTCTCTCGAGAGGGTATTTGTGTTATGGGGCCGGCAAAGGGTAACTTGCCTCCGGTTGATGACGCTGGAAAGGCTGACCAGGAGAACGTCGCTGGTAGTTAGGCTGTTGAGTGTATCCTCTAAGAATTCATTAAGCATTTTCCCCCACTACATAGGAAAACAACCCAATTGATTTGATGCATGGCCCAGCCTCGAGTTCGGGTTCTAAAGCTCTTCAGTGGACCCATCGTACCCATAGTTTTAGGCTCTTCCAGATGCCCGTTTAGCCCGTATCCGTCTCTGAAACGGCATGTTTATATACGCGGAGCATGCATTGGGCCGACGGGTATACGCGTACAACTCCCCTAGCTCAAATTGATAAGCTGACACGCGTCCGCGGACCAATGACTGTCGCCTCACGTCAGATCAACTGGTATGCACCCGAAGAATCCGAGCCGTGGCGACAGAATAATCCCGACATTATCAGGCTGAATCCTCACGTCATCTTTTGTGACACCCTTTTCAAGCGGGGTAAATCCACTGATGACGCCAACATTCGCTTGCCCTTTGACAGCGTCATCTCCACTCACTGTTCCAACGTCTGGGCATCATTGACCGTTGTCCATCACAGAAATTATACATATTAGCCCCTGGGCCTGGCTAAGACCTTTTCCTCTTCTGTGCCTCTTTCCTTCTCCTCATCTTCAATTTTCTGATAGTCAATACTACTTTTTACTATCACAATGAGGTCTCTTTTGACTCTCACTTTGGCTACGGCCACTTCCGCCTTCGTTCTCCCAGAGTCTCTTGATAGTCTCAACGCTTTCAAGGATGATATCAAGCAGACGCTTGAGGATATTCCCGTCCGTATCCGCAAGTCTCTCGATGAGGCGACCGATCAGCTTGGCAACGAGATCTCCTCCGCTCTGCACCACAAGCTCCAAGACGAGGATGCCTTCTTCAACGAGTTAGCCAACGATCAAGAGACCAGCACTGAAGAGTTCGCTTCCATCTTTGGTCGAACAGGTGGTGACTTTACAGACCATACTACCTACGAACTCATCGCCAAGAGCAACTACACCAAGAAGTTCTTCAAGCTCGTAAAGGAGCATGAGAAATTTGGAAAGCTGCTTAATAGCACTGACCAGAACTATACTCTCTTCGTTCCTACTGATGAGGCGTTCGAGCATATCCCCCATGACAAGAAGCACAAGCCTAGCGATGAGTTTGTCGAAGACGTTCTCAACTACCACCTCGGGGTTGGAGAGTATCCTGCTTCAAGGATCCTCTTCACCCATACTGTTCCTACTACATTGAAGGAGAAGTTGCTCGGTGATAAGCCTCAGCGTCTTCGAACCAGTGTTGGGCTTTCTGGTGTGAGGGTCAACTTATACAGTAAAGTCATTGCCGTTAACTTTGTGAGTATCCAAACGAACTCTCACAACTTGATCTGTACTAACACTTTATAGAAAACCAAGAACGGTATCATCCACGCTGTCAACAGAATTCTTGTTCCCCCTCCCTACATCGGCAAGGAGATCAGCCTCTTCCCTGCCCAATTCTCTACCCTCCTCCTCGCTTATGACAAGACCGACTTTGTCAAATACATCCACGACGTCCCCATGGTCGGCAGCACCGTCTTCGCGCCCTCGAACGAGGCGTGGTCGCGTCTTGGTGCTCGCGCTAACGCCTTCCTCTTCAACACCGAAACCGGCAAGAAGTATCTCCGTGCCTTGCTCAAGTACCAAATTGTCCCCAACATCACACTCTACAGTGATGAAGTCTACTACGGCGACGAGAAGCAGACATCCAAGAAGCTCTTCGGACATGGTGACGATTTCCACATTGAGCTACCTACGCTTTTGGAGAGGAGTGTTGGTGTTGATGTACATACCTTTAAGAGCTGGACTACTATTGTTCTGAATGGACATGTTGTTGTTGGGTTCAATGACGCTGTTGGTAAGAATGGTGTCATTCATGTTCCTCGAACTATCCCTATTCCTCCTCACAGGAAGGGCGAACACCCTGACAGTGTGGATGGTGAGATCAGTGTTGAAGAACTCAAGGAGAGATTGCAGGATTATGTGGAGGATGATGACGAGCTTGATTGGAAGGATGGTGAGTTGTAAGCATTGCTCCTCACTATTCTAGGGTTCGAGATATAGGTTCTCATAAAAGTTCAACATCATGATGAGTACCATGAAAGCTTTTCCTCCTCCAAGATGCTAGCAGTCAAACACTTTTGATGAGGAAGTAACTTACTGCTAACAAGGAATGTTCGGCTGGTAACAGCTTGGAAGAAGGAAAGCTTTTATGGTACCCGCGCGATGTGGCTTCGGATAATTCATGATATAATCTCTGATAACAAACGCCTTGAACATTACCGGTCGTCTCTATGTTAAGATTACCGTGAAATAATTACGGATGTACGTAGGAAATAATCATGCTGAACAACAATGTCTTTGGTTATGAATAAACCAATAACAGAAATGGCTGAATCCAGAACTAGACTGTATTCTGAAGGGCTATCGTTTCATCAAGGAGTGAGATATAGTCAATGTTTGCGTACCCAAAGACGGCGGTCCGCCACGCTGATAAATCTATGGAGAGCGGCCCTCCAGGCCAAGGTGATAAATAAAAATTGCAACGGAACTTTCCCCGCCTGTTGCTGCCTAAAATCGCTTCTCTTTCTCTGGGCCAGAAAGTCAGGCTCACCAGTCCCATCATCGAGACTACCAACCACCCTCTGTAATTTCCTATTGGTAGAGCTACGCAAACACTGTTTTTGCTTCTCCCACCTAGTACCCCTCTCTCGATTTTCTGTTTCCAGTGTCTGTATCCCTGCTTCACTGCCCCTTATTGTATCCGTATTGAGCTATTGCATCGAGATGGCTACCTCCAAAAACATCGACGGCGACGAAATCTCCGAGCTCAAGTCAGACGCGTTCGCTGTTTCTGCAAAGAACCTTTCCTGCGTCGAGGAGTTCGGTCGAAAATGGCACGACCGCGGTATCAAGGCTGGCGTCACTCAAGCTAGAACGAAAGTTGAGGACGGCACCTCGGCCTCTCTAATGGAAAATGCTCGCGAGACTATCGCCGCGCTGGCCGCCCGCAACAAAGAGCTTGAGAAACAAGTCAAGGAGCTGAACTACTACAAGGACATCGCACTGGACGCTCGTAAGTACACTTGATCTCGTTATGTATGGCCCGCTAATCTTAACATAGACGACATCGTGACTTCTTCCGGCTCTATGGCCTGGCATATCCTGGAAACCGAGAAGGCATACATGAGGCCTGAAAGTTTCAACAATCTTCGTGGAATAGCTGCAGACCTCAAAACAGCCAGATCAAGGTGCAAAGCCATGTTTAATCATGCTTCTGAGAAGGCCAGGGGTTACAGTGACGACTCCCCAGACGTTGAGCGCAAGAACAAGCGTCAACGAATCTAGCCCCCGTGAGGCAGTATGATGTATTCGAAGGGGTATTGGTACAATTCGCCTGGGTCGGAGGCATACCGTTGTAATTCAAAGGAATGAGAATGGATCACCGGGTGTCTAAACATGGATGTGAAGCGTTGATCAAGCGACGATGAAGATACCTTCAATACAAAAGTCTTGTCAATTTACGCATTTCAACGAAGCAATATTTCCGTTTGTGTTCAGATAGTTGTCGGCCACATGTTGACGAGTTCACTGACTCTTAACTGAGAGCAGCTTTATCTATACACTCTCGGTAAGGACCTCAATTACTCTGACAAACATGGCTCCGTTCGATCTGCACCACCAACAAACATTGTTAGCCCTCGTGCTATCACAGTGATTGCTAGTGTTGGATTATGGCACCTGCTCATGAGTCTGCCACTGCCCGACAGCTGCTAACTGCCAGCAGCTGTCGGGTGATCTTAAACTCGCTTGCGAATACCCACCAATGTGAGTAGATAACTTCTCAATGCAAAATTATTTCCCCCCAAACATCCTTTTTCTGCTCTTCATTCTGCATCATCCAGTGTTTCTTAAACGTCTATCGCAATCATCACAAACCGACTTGAAAATGACGCGCATCATCATAATACGAAAGCCGCGCTCTTCCTCTCCCACCACTTCGCCTTCAATCCCTTCCTCCCCAGCTTCATCCAGTACCGCCTCTTCGCCTTCTCATACTCCCATCACTAGAAGCGCCACCAAAACCCAAGTCCGACTGTATCGCGGCTCGAAAGAATGCCCCATTTGCAAGGCGATTATCGTCAACCGCAACAATGCACTAAAGCGTCACATTGACAGACACGCGACACTCGCCGAACTCGAAGTAAAGACTCATTATATCCCGTCCTGTAACCTGTAATGACACTCTTCCTAGACCACGAACTTCGATCTCGAGCCCGACCGAAACGGGCTATCTGATGCCGACACAGCTCGCGCCCGCAAGATGTGGCAGTCCATCCCTGCCAGCATCCGCAACTCTGGTGGTATCTTCCAAGATGGCCCTCTTGCTGGAAAGGGAGAAGTCGCCGGTATGCCCGAGGTGTTCATGGTAAATGGCCGACTCAAGAAGAAGTTTATGTGGATTCGGAAGGACCTTGGTGGGCGAATTGGACGACGACCTTTGAAGGCCTTGAAGGATGGGAACTCTGGGGCTGCCGACTCACCGAACAAGTAATCGCAACTCTTTGGTCGGCAATTGGGACTTTATGAGTGTCATATTTCTCCACTTGGCATCGTACTCCAGGAGACGAGCGTGTCTAGTATCAAAAGGCTGTTCAACACGTTGCGACGAGGACGGATATACCCGGGTCTGGTTATTTGTGTATTCATGTCAATATGTTGGCATAGACTAAAAGAAAGAATACCATTCTATATTGTAGCTATCAGCCAGTAACTGTTCACACCAAGATACAAGAAGCTCTCAATTTTTCTTTGGGGGTTCTGGAAGACCATACTTGAACGATAGAAGTGACTCGGCGTCTTGCTTCCTCAAGTACTCCTCAAGACTATCAGTCTTGACAGGCTTCTTAAGCTGATCAGGCGTGATAACCCCTTCAATCCCTTCGGTATATCCATACTCATCCAAGTAAGCAGGTCCATCGAGGACTTCATAAGGAAGATCAGTTTTCTTATTCATCTCCTCTTCAGTCATGGTCCTCAGAGTAGCCTTCTTTCCCGTGACCTGGTTCCAAGTTTCGACGACCTCCGTCATGGAGAGCTCGCTGTCGTATGCCAGCAGTTTCGTTCTAGCAGGCTCACTTTCAACTAGAGCTTGGACGAATATACCGGTTGACTTGGCGGTGTCAATAATGGGCATTCGCAGGTTCCCTGAGGCTGGGATCTCCAAAACATATTCGCCAGTCTCGGCATCCTTCTTGGGGTACAGGAAGGCGTTGGTTGCGTAAGCTCCGACGTAGATATAAGATGTCTTCTGGGCAAGCTCAGGCACCTCGTTTTCGATATAGTTGACAGCTGCAGCCTTGGTCTCCCAGTGATGACAGTGAGAGAACTTTCCCTTGGAAACCTCCTTCATGGGTCCAAGGGCAGAGTAGATGCACTTCTCAAGAGTCTCCGTCTTGGACGCAGCGTATGTCGCATTCTTGACATGAAGACCCTCGGTATCATACCCAATGCTTTGACTAGTAAGCTGGTCTTTTCCGTCTGCCAGAGCAGATACGTAAGGCGCCCAGAAGTCTGTGTTGATGAAGATGGCATGTGCGCCCTTGAAAGCGCGGACTAACGACTCGGCGTCATTCATGTCTGCTTCAACAATCTCGGCTCCAAGGTCTTTCAAAGTTTGGGCTTTGGAAGATGTTGAGCTGCGTGTGAGAGCGCGGACATGCCAGTTGGGAAGGTTAAGAAAGGTTCTGGCGACGGAGCCCCCCTGCGTGCCAGTAGCGCCAACAACTGCGATGGTTTTGGTGGACATTTTTGGCGTTTGGTGAATACGAATCAAGTACTTGTTAGGATGAGGTGCGAAACTGGAGCGACTTGCAGTGGTTTGAGCATTGCATCTTTAGGTTCCTTTCATGTGGTATTTATACTGATTTTTCCTTTACTCATTATGCTCCCTTATTACTGCAGCGGACAATTCGGCGATAACCTCAACCGCCGTCCGATTGGACCTCCAACAGTAAGCCACTCAATATTGGCATCAGAGGCGAGAGCAGCCAAGCGCTGATTGGTTCAAAAACCGTAAGCCAGACCGCCCCGCTCCATCTTGGGCTCGACCACCATCCAAATCCGTAATCAGGATTCACTTGCTGACAGAACAATCGCCTCATCATTCTCGTGCATCTTCTGTTCGCCCGAGCCCCAGAGAAATGAATACCATTGATACAAACAAGGTCAATACTATGAAGCGGAGTGGTAGGGATGACCCAGATGCTGCTCAACCGCCCGCTAAGCATCGCGTTTTAACCCCTGCTAGAAGGGAGCAAAACAGGTTGGCGCAAAAGGCATACAGTGAGTCAATGAGTGCCAAATAGTCATAACTGTGTCCCTAACCGATCTGTTCGTAGGAGAAAGACAAAAAGAAGAGAGAAGAATAATAAAAGAGAAAAGATCTCGAGCAAAAGATAATCCGCGGCCTCGGCCGCTTTTGAAGCGCGACGCACCTGTACAACAGGAAGACCAAGACCCCGGCCAACTTACCAAGTTCATTGAGCCCGTGTCGCCAAGCACCACCGAGTCAAGCAATGAATCAAATTTCCCAGATGTCTATCTCAACATGCTTCAGTTCTTCCCAACCGCATTTTTCGGATCTTGTCTCACCAATGCAAGGTCACTGGGCTTTGACCTTGATGTCGTCGCAAATTGCAACGCTGATAACATTTCTCCATTCTTCCAACCCAGCATCTCCGGAACCCCAAACTGTAGAGCTCTTGGCTCAGCGTTCATCTCTTCCTTCAATAACACCAACGTCCCCGTTCACTTGCGCCCTACGCTGGCGCAGATTCTCATACCCCATCATATAAGCCTGGATTTGGTACCTCTTCCGTTTCTGCGCGAGCGCGCTATCATGGCATCTGCTGCCTTACCTTCTACTTTCAATATTTGGGAGATGAAGCTTGATATATACGCGAGAGGAGGGTTGACAACGTGGAGGTTGGGCTCTGGCATGGGAGAGAAGTCCAAGGATAGCTACCCGCCCTGGGACATGAAGAGTTGGGAGGCTGCACCGTGGTTCCTGGACAAGTGGTGCATGGTCATGGGGAAGGATTATGAAAGGATTCAGCAGCAGAGTATTGGATGGCAGGTTGTGAGAGACATGATATGCTCACAAGATACGTTCCAAGGTTTGAATGAATGTCTTGTGACTTAATGTTACAGAATACAGCTATACCACAGTTCTCGCGCCATATCCTCATACACGAACACCTCTGGCCAAACAACCGTACTCAGAGCCAGTCTCGCGACCTCCCAGTCTGTGATCCTAGTCACTCCACTCCACTCTCTAACGAACCCTTCAAAGACTACCTGCATCTCGTCCAACATTCCACCAGCAGAAGCAGTCGCTCGGTCAAGGCTCATCGCACCAACAAACGCTTTCCAAAGCCAAAGATCTGACAGATCTCGAGAACGACGTCTGCCAAGCTCAAGGTCTTGGTAGAGAATAAACAAGACGCGACGATGAAGAGATGGCTCGATTGGATCGCCAGCATTCCAGAACCTGAGGATAGTATGGAGGTAGAGACCTACTGCTGCATTCAAGCCAGACCATGACGACGTCAAGGAAGAACGGGGTCCAGAAGACCTTGTTGCTTTCCTGTCGCTTGAGATTGACTCAATATGTGATCCAACGACGAGCAAAAGTAATCTCGTAGCAGCGCCCTCCTGCCATATCATCTGCTGACTATCAAAGTCCATCGCCTGCGCTCTCATGCGAGACGTGGTCGTAAGCGTAGCCAGGCATTCCACGATCTCTGTACCATCGATCTCAATAAACGTTGAACCTGGGGGGAGTTCACTGAAGAAAAAGGGTAGCATCTTCAACGCCTTGAGTCGAATATCAAGACCTTGCATCTCATGCTTGTGCCATTCATGCATGAGCTTTTCGACTAGAGCTGGTGGGGGCTTTTGACCTGATTTCGTGACGCTGGCGTCGACGAGGACGTCTTCGACTCTGCTTTTGAAGCCGTGGATGAAATTGTATGCACTGGGGTACTGTTAGTGACCTGTGAGGGGATATGGGGAGGGGCACGAACAATAGAACCCATCGGTTCGCCAACTCATCATCCAGACCATGCTCTGTGGGTATTGTGATATGAGTTGGTCTGTGAAGGTCCATGAATCTCATCAGACCATCCATGTGTGTCTCTGCTGTAACGATATTTCCGAGTGCACACTAAAAGCGTCAATCAATGTCCGTTATGAAGGGTAGTGAATGTAGGCCTGTTACCTCGGAGAAACACAAAGTGGAAATGTTTCTCACGCAAACTGCATATTTCTTATCTGAGTTTTGAAGAAACTTATTCACATCACTCATTGTCTGAATCTTGTGGAACAAGAAAGTGGGCTCGTAGGATTGGAGCTGGCCGGCGTTCCAAGCATAGTGGAGTCCAGCAATGAGCATGGTGTTGCGCAGTGCATCACTGCTATGTGCAACAGATTGCAGCCTAAGATGTCAGAATTTATCATGGGAGAAACGTGAGTCAGAATTCTTACAAGCCTCGTCGTCTCTCCTTCGGCACAACGTCAAACGGATCTTCAAGCGCATAAACTTCCCTTCGTCAGTACCGCAGCGTTTGGCAGATCTAGTCAGCTTACAGTAGTGAAACAGCTCATCAGATCGATATGCCATTGGTATCGGTCGTGTCGCGACAGATGTGCAAGATCCAATGACTTTAGGCATGGTCACTGCATCAGTCCAAGGTTGCTGCTCTCCTGGAAGACATTTCTTCCTGCGCTCGCGAAGCGGCAGGACTGCAGAGGGATATTCGCATTGTCGCTGCACTGATAGGCAGTTTCCACTGGATCCATAAGTCAGCCAGTTCTTACAAGCATAAGTGTGTGCCGGGGCGTATTTCACTAACCAGATCGGACGCACCTCATCGCATTTTTGGTGGCGCTGTCTGCATGTCAGACACCCCGTTCGGCTGCGGGTGTAGTACTGTTTCTGTTTCTGTTTGGGCTTCTTGGCGGCGACTTCAGCTGAAAACACCATGGTAACGGTGGTGTAACGAGAATAGCTTGTAATTCGTGGTAGGGGGTAGGGGATAATGGGAAAGACAGATTATGTCTCGTCAGGCGAAATCCCTGGGGCGGGTGATGCTGACAGTTGGCGCTAAGCTGCCTTGGGACGATTACGCGTGTAAGCGAGCAAGGGGTCCTCCATGATGTCAAAAACATGCTTCATTGTACTTGTTAAGTTATTATAAAACATTCAAATGAGTAGAGTCTCTAGGTGCAGATTGAGACAAATATAACACCACTTCCAACCACTTGCCAGCTATTCCGAAGCGCTGTTTCATGAATCTGGAACCAAGGTATAGGATTCTCTGCCGATTGACGAGTTCTTCTTCGTGATCGCGCCAGGAACGACTGTAGTCTCAATGCACTGAGATAAAAAGCTGTGATTAAGTACGGTCATCCTGGTATCGGGGCCACCGAGAGAAACCCGTCTCGCAGCACAGCACTACTTGATCTAGCAACTGCCCCAAAGCCGTAAATTGCTCGCCTGTATCCGGACACAAGCATGACCTGAAGTCGCACACAAACATGCGTAACATGTGTTCTTCATTATAAAATCTCCATTCTCTCTTCCTCATAGGTAACGGACAGAACTTACCTTTTTCATAATGTTTGTAATCAAGTAAAATCCGCATTTCGCCAATGTCATTCTTGGAGGTTACTACAATGCCTCAGTCAAAGGCTGCAAAGCTCACCACCCTCCGAAGTCTACCGAGCGGAAGCCTTCGTGATTGTGCTATACAGTTCGCCAATGGTCGATGCTGGTGCTATTGTGGCTGCCAGAGTATAATTCAACAGAGATACTATGGTCGGCGTAATCGATGCATTGAGATACATCCTATGCCTGTCATACCCACCCCAGAAAGTCAGATCTATGACTGCTAGTAACGGGAAGCTGAATAAGAAGGATCATGGTTATGAATATCATCTGAGTAGGTGGTAGGAATGACATGGTTTCAGTGACAGTTTACAGGTGATTAGGAATGGGCAGACGGCTCGGACATACGCACATGCAGGGTTTCACTTATTGGAGTGAAGGTTAAGGGATACCTTGTTAACCCCGATTCATTGCCTAGTCTGACTGACCTTGTGAAGCAGTGTTCGCAGTCATGTATATAAGGCCAGGTCATAACTACAACCACAGGGTCGATCAAATCACACAGCACTCAAAAAAAGCAAAACGAAAAAGAAGTCCAAAAACAGATCATCAAGAACCATGTTTCATCAAGAAAACCTTACTCCACCCACTTCCCCTATTCAGGAAGTCGATTTGCCTGGTGGTATCCTACAAGTAGCCAACCTTCAATGCACATGCTTTTGCGGCTGTACAAGAGTAGTCCAGGATACCAAGTTGATGCTGTGCAACCCCTGCAAGGAGAATTGCGATGGTGAAAGTGACGTGGAGGCTCTTATCGCGAAGGACAGCGTCACGGATTGCCCTTCTGATTAGATCATAGAGGTTATGGGTGGGGCAAGGGAATGGATTGGTCATGGATAACATAGATAGAAAGAAGTTGTGCATAATGCACTGAAGCACAAATAAAAGATTCTGCTCTTGGCTGCTACGAGCTATACCAGTCGTGTAGTCAGGAAAGATTGTGAAAAGATGCATACGAGCAACAGTGATGCAAATAAGAGCATTTCGTACATATAAATAGCAGTCCGCTCGTGCCTAGACATTTGCCTTTCCACAATTCCACAATCAATCAACCCCTTCGAACTAGATATATTCAACAGCCATGCCTTATAACAACAGCCTCAAGCTCAACGCCGATTCGCCAGGTGATGTTATGGAAACAGCTAACCCTCGATGCCAATGCTATTGCGTCTGCAAAAGAATCGTCCAGGATAGGACCTCGCAGCTGTGCGGCCCTTGCAAAGATGTCTGTTCTTTAGTCAATCTTCAGAACTCAAGCAAGACTGATAAAGAATGCAACAAGAAGGGTCCGGTCGAAAAGGATGAGCGTCGACGATTGGCATTCCCAGTCAATAGTGAGAGAGATGATGGGTCGGGCAAAGAGGTAGCCATGTCTGACTCCAACAACCTCAACGTCATGCAACCTACCGTCAAAATGAGTCCTCACGCTTCGTGTAACATTCAGCTCAGGACTCTCCTCCGTCCTCTACTATAGCTGGTGACGGGAGACAGCAAGTTGCCCCGTTATGTAGTTGCTTATGCGGCTGCAGGATGGTCGTTAAACGGGCGTATATGGGGCGCTGCGAGCCCTGCATCTGGTACCACCCTCAATAGTGAAGCTATACTAAGCAGCAGGCGATAGTCCACCCAGAATAGCAATTGAGTGAACTTTTAGATCCCCACCACCCGTGTCCTGCCTCGTGATCTGTTGACAGTAAATCTACGTATATGATCAACCAACCCCAGACCCATCCGTCAATCCTAAGCCACCACTTCCATCACTAACATCATTCCCGTGTATTGCCAAGACCTATGTTACCCCGAAACAGTCAAGATGTCCAAAACCTTGACTGTTGCCGTCGGCGAACCTGTCTCATAATCTTGACGTTTTTGTCCTAGCGTGCTTGTAGGTATGTGGCCAACGACGCCCAAGACGGATAACGATGCCAGGGCGAAAGCTTAATTTCAGCCCTGGGGTCGAGCCTTTACTAGTTCGGTGGTTTGTTGAGGTGGTTTAAAGATAAGGAGGCTGCTCTGTCCACTCCCAGCGCAAGGACGTCCCCTGTGATGTACTCACACAATTTGCATCAACCTTCAAACCCTCGATACTGAGGTCTCAATAAAAGACTTCCAGGTCTTTTACCACTAAAGCGCGATGCGTAATCCAGATGCCAAGGACATCCTCGTACGTAACATTCGGTCTTCACTGCTTTGGTATTAACTCTCCAGGCTTCCCAAATCCTTGTCCTCGTCGCGATAGCCCTCGTCGCAGCCCGCCTCAACCTCCGTCTCCGGATACAAAAGCGAAAGCTCCTTCTCAGTGATAAGTTCATGGTCGCGGCATGTATATCAGGCGTCATTGCTGGTGCTTTCGGACCCGCGTTTGCAGCTCTTGGTGCGTTTGAGCCCAGCGTGCACTCAACCCTGGAAGGATATAGCGGTGGGACTACCAATCTCAGGCTGGTGTTGAAGGTGAGAACCACTGCTGAACTAGCCTTGGAGGTTGTATAATTGACGGTAGTGACTATCAGTTGCTCTTTGCTTCCAATTTCCCATTTTACACGACGCTTTACCTATGCAAGGCGGCTCTCTTGTCGGTCTACTTACAGGCCTTCCCCGACTTTATGGTCAAGCGACGGATATTCCTCTGGATCACGATATGGACGACGATCGCCAGCTATTTTATCACCATTCTCCTCATCTTCTGCATCTGTATACCCCTCGACAGACACTGGCAAGTCACACTCCGTTGCATTCGGTTACCATAGCTAACTCAATCGCAGGGACTTGAGAATCTACAGAACCTGTTTGCCTTGGACCTATGCGGTTACATTCAATGTAGGCTGGGGACTATCGTTCCTGGGCGACCTGCTCGGTACAGAGACCCGGAACCTTATAAGCATAAACACTGACGTCGGTACAGTTTTCATTCTTCCCTGGCTTATTGTGCCAGCACTGAATGTCAAGCGATCACTCAGAATTGGTATTTACTTTACGTTTTTACTTGGAACTGTCAATATTGCAGTCAGCCTCGGTCGCTTCCTCACAATCTTCAACGCAGGCGCCGACTCTACCATATCACTTGCTGAAATTAGTACTACTCCCTTTCCTCTGGGGCAGATTAGATGTTAACAGATCATAGTACTCTGGAGTGCATTAGACGCTGAAATAGGTCTTGTAATCGCCTGTTTGCCCTCGCTACGCCCATACTTTGGATCACGACATAAATCTGAGACTTCATCTCCTGGAAACACGAGTGGAAATTGGATGCGAAGGAACTCAAAGCTTGGGTTTGAATCAATTCGAAACAACTACAGGCACCATGATGAGGAGGAATCACCGACATATATTGGACAGCAGAGAATGCGACTTCCTTCCTTGTGGTCTGAAGTTGAGGGAGTGTCGGAAACTGGAAAGGACCACTGCACCTATGCAAGTGATATTGAATGGATAGAGATGAGGCGTCCTTCCAAAGCGTTGATTGCAGAATCGGACTCAGACAAACAAGTATAGAAGTAGGTACACTGATGAATATTAATATGTTCTTTGTTCAATTCTGCACGGATGGTGGTTGATTCCCCGGGTTGGCGACTCTCCATCCCCGCATTCCCTCGGAACGCCCCCGCGATTCCGGCAACCAACAACATGTGACGCCCATACACCTTCGGCAGCGGGAGGCTAGCAGCGGATAGCTGTACGTACAATGGTGAGGTATACAGCCAAGCTGCTTACTTACACAATGACTACGCCGTGACATAAGAAGGGCGTGGCTCTGCTCGGGATTGTCCAGTCCCCAGCTTCTCTCGTCTTTACAGCTGGAATACTACACATAGCCGAACCATCTCAGAGCACTTGATCGAAATGTCAGACTCCAATTATACTCTATACACATACTTCCGCTCCTCATGCGCAGCCCGTCTCCGGATTGCCATGAACGCCAAGGGAATCTCATACGACTTGACACCCGTCAATCTTCTCAAGAACGACCATCTTTCAGATGAGCACAAAGCTCTCAATCCCTCAGGATCAGTTCCCGTTCTCATCCCACCCACTTCCAACTCCAAGCCCTTCCTCATTCGCCAATCCGTAGCAGCTCTGGAATATCTCGAAGAAAAGCACCCTGAGCATGCCCTTCTCCCGTCTGACCCGGAGGGCCGAGCAATCGTACGAACGCTCGTCAACATCATCAGCGCAGATGTCCAGCCTGTGACAAACCTTCGCATCATGCGTCGCGTACGAGAGCTAGGTGGTAACGCAGAAGAGTGGAACTGTCAGCTCATGACGAATGGACTGAGGGCTTATGAGGAGGTTGCGAAAGATACAGCTGGAAAGTGCTCTTTTGGCGATGAGCTTACGATGGCCGATGCTTGTTTTATGCCTGCTTGGTGGAATGCGGAGAGGTTTGGTGTTGACTTGTCGGCTTTTCCGACACTCCAGAGAATTGCGGAGAATTTGAAGGATCATCCTGCTGTTGTAAAGGCGCATTGGCAGAATCAGCCTGATACACCGGACAATCTCAAGGCTTAGATGTAAACAGTCTATTTAGTTTTAAAGCTCCATACAATCTCTATTTTTACTTGAACAATGGAAGGGGCTCAAGAATGGTTCCAGTCACCTCGCCAAAGCCAACCTTGGAATCACCACTACCCCAAGATCCCCTCAACACCAGAGTATCACCGTTTTGAATGAACTTTCGCTCCTCGCCGTTGCTGAGCTGAATAGCCACTTTGCCACCCTTTGTCTGCTCTAGCATACTTCCTTCTGTACCAGAATCAGGGCCAGAGATAGTACCCGATCCGAGAAGATCACCCGGTCGCAGGTTGCAGCCAGTGATGGTGTGGTGAGCAATCATCTGGGGCCAAGACCAGAGCAGATTACGAGAGCTGGTTTTGCTGAGAGCATTCTTGTTTCCAGCGGCAGCTTTGGTACGTTAGCAAGTATATTTCAAGGTCAAGGACTTGGCGCTTACTGGTAATTTCCACTTCGAGATCAATATCCAACATATTATTCTCCTTCTTCTCCTTCAGGTATGGGAGGATCTCGTTATCGTTCCTAATTCCAGCCGCCTTCGCACCATCAAGCGCATCAGCGAGAACGACCCAAGGGCTAATACTCGTGCCTAAGTTCTTGGAAGTGAAAGGTCCAAGAGGGACATATTCCCATGCCTGAATATCTCGTGCACTCCAATCGTTCATGAGAACATAGCCGAAGATGTGTTCATCAGCCTCATCGACAGGAACGGGGTGTCCCATTTGGTTCTCGCGGCAGATGAACATGCCCATCTCAAGCTCAATGTCCAGCCTCTCACAAGGTGCAAGATCAGGAACTTTGTTTCCGGGACGCAGGATTTGACCCCATGGTCGATGAATCGGTGTGCCAGAAATGACAACGCTGCTCGCACGTCCGTGGTACGCGACGGGGAGATGTGTGTAGTTGGGTTGCAGCGCGTTATCAGGCCCACGGAAAAGGCAGCCAATGTTGTAAGCGTGATGCTTTCCAGCATAAAAGTCGGTGTAATCACCAATAGCAAGAGGAAGATGGTTCTTGACATCTGAGCGCTTGAGGAGAGCAGTTTCTTGAAGTTTTTGGTTATCCTTGAGGATCTGGGGATGCTTGGTGTCCTTTGCCAGAACGTCTTGGAGGTAGCTCCTCACAGCGCGGTGAACAGGCCGTCCAAGAGCAGCAAAAGCGTTCAATGACGATTGCGAGAAGACATCAGCATGCTTCTGAACATCCGAGCTCCCAGAGAAACCATCTCCCTTCGCAAAAGCCTTCAGATCAAGAACATGATCGCCGATAGCGACGGCAGGTCTGGGTGTTGAATCAGATGATGTGGAGATGATGCCAAATGGGATATTGGCGATGGAGAAGTGAGACTCTGAGGGAATAGATAGCCACGACATTTTGGCAACTTGAGTAAATAAAAGATTATGATGATGATGAAGACAACGACGCCAATTGTTTTCTGTCTTGTATACTTTATGGAGCCGTGGGAAGCCGATGCAGCGGGGACTAAGGCCGAGATGCGGGGGATGACACGGGGCACGGAAGCGGAAAGGCTCCGCTGAACATCGGCCGAGAGATTCCGAGATTCCGCTGCGTCAGACAATTGCAAGCATTAAAGCGGTTATCCCGGCTGAAGATGAGAATATCCCATCTTCAGCCGCTATTGAATCTACAGTTCCGTGCAGAGGTTTTTTCCTTTTCTGTCTCAGTCGCGTCGTCTTGTTATGGGGCCGGATCCCTTATCGAGACCCTAGGTCATCACCGTGTCAAAGCCGGCACATGTTATCGATAACAATAGGGTAGCACGATTATTTTCAGACACTGCTCTGCATGAGCTTACACTGCGGTTTCAATTGTGTTGCAGATTCTGCATTAAATAGACATCTTAAAACTCAGGCTCACTGGAGAAATTCTAGTCTCGCTCTTTAACACGTTTTACATAGCTGTAAAGACGCGATCGGAATGTCAGCATGTTTCCGAGCTTCATGAATCCAACCCCACATCACGAATCAGTCCCAACTCATTCCTTCTCTCCCCCAATTTCTACCTTGCCATTACCAACCTCGGCTACTGCTTTCTTCGTCAATTGATAGCCATAAAATCTCAATGCACCAATCACAATAGCACCAATGAGCATTGTCACTCCGGCAAACACCTTGAGATATGTGTAATTGCCACCGTTCGCTTCCACGAGCGCACCAGCGATGGGACTACCCGCTAATACACCGATTGAGATACAGAAGTATAGCATTCCTGTTCGATGTCCTATTTCCGACAGGGGAGAGACTTCTACGACCAGCGCAGGGGTCAACGAGATGTAGCTGCCGGAAAAGAAACCGAAGAATGCCGAGAAGCAAAGCGATGCCGCATTGGATCTTCCGGGAAGCCAGACAGCCAGGGTCAAGATAGCCGACATGGTTGTGCAGATCATCATCATATTGAAACGACCGAATTTATCGGCCAAGAAGCCAGGCAGGATCCGGCCAAAGACGCTCACGGCATTGAGGATGACAATGGAGTAGATGGACAATTCCCAAGACATACCCATAGCCTGTGCCTCTAGGGGAATGAAGTTGAAGGGAAGAAAGAGTCCAAAGCCAAAAATAGTTAATGCTAGGCAGAGAAGGGCGAATTTGACTTCCTTCATCGGTGTGATGTATGATGTTATCTTGAACGGGGTACGGGCATGAGCTTTGTTGGAACGAATTGTTGCGACCGCCGCAAGCACGCCGACAAGAATGATGAATGGGACTGCACGCATCGTCCATCCAAAGCCAACCATGGGCATCAATCGATTGACCATAATCGGGAAGATGATGCCACCAATTGATGAGCCCGAAATTGCAATGCCATACGCGGTCGCTCTTCTAACCTTCCACCACGTTGCCAAGGACCCAACAGTACCGTACATGATAGCACTAGCTCCCAGCGC